CTGTCCAGGTGTCCCTGTGATGGACTGGAGACCTGTCCAGGTGTCCCAGTCCCTGAGTCGACTCCCGCTGTGACTCGGAGCTTTAGAAATAAACTGAATTTATGTAAATACACCAAATATTACGATGACCTGTTACTTTGAAATGTGCTTGTTGTTTGTTTTTCATTCATGTGACAAACAGAACCCAAACCCAGAACCAAAAAAACCCAACTTTTTATTTTTTTAATGAACTCATTGGCGGGCCGGACTGAAGTCACCCGCAGACCGGAAGTGGCCCGCGGGCCGCCAGTTGAATAGCCCTGTTCTAGACGTTCCTCTATTTGACTCACCTGATGTGAATAAGTGGGTGATCAACGAGCTGCTGCAGAACTTGAAGACCTGCTAAAGACCAGGGATCCAACTAAAACATGCAGGACCAGGACCAGGACAGAGGACCACTGTTCTAGTTAGTCCGGACCAACAGAACTTCCAGGAGTCAAACTCCAAAGCTCAAGAACGTTTAAACACCAGATTGTTAAAAACACAATCTAGGACCTTAAAGTCTAAAATCCAGAAACCATAAAGTCCAGTCAGAAGTCCAGAAACCTATATCTGGTCCTCAAGCAGTGGTCCCCTCAGAGGCACGGTGGATCAGTGGATCCATCCTCCACTTCCTAAAGTGAATGCTTGGACTGGATTTCTCTGTTCCAGGTGGACGGGAAGCATCAGGACACCAGAGCAGAGTTTGAGAGGCTGCAGGTGGACATTCAGCACCTGGACCTGAGTAAGAACCAAATATGTGGAGGTTCTGCTGGTCCAGAGTCTGTCCAAAGGTTTAAACCCAGTTCTGTTTCCAGGGAAAGTCCCGCTGCTGCAGCAGAAGAAGCTTCCTTTGGTCGGAGTTGGGAAACATTTGTGTGGAGCAGCAACAGGTAGGAGTCCTCTGGTCACCCCCATCAAGTCATCTGACACCATCCAGTCTGGTTTGTTCCGTCTCCCTCTGTTGCCTTCATACATCTCCTCCTACATGTCTCTGAGTGAGTGCAGCTACAGCGTGCGCTCTCAGGACATCATTACCTGCAGTGTTCCCTCAGTGAGGACTGAACTAGACAAAAGGACCTTCTCCTGCTCCGCTCCTGTTTCCTGGAACATCTTGTAAAAAGATGTGAAGCTCTCGACCTTTGACCTCTCTAAGAGGCTTCAAACATCTGTTCAGTTCCTGCAGATGTTCCTGTTTTCAGTTTTCTACAGTTTTATAATGAAGCTCTTTTTGTTTTTGTTTCATTTCTTTACTTTTAATTTCATATGATTTTATATGTTTGTCCACTGTCGTCTTCACTCTTTGTTAAACCAGGTCTCTCTGTAGGTCTCGAGTCCTCGAGGCTCCATGAGACCATCCTGTAGAAATAAAGGTTGAACGATTCAGTACCTCCAGAACCAGAACTGTGTGAGCACAACGGGCCGATGTGCTCACACAGTTCTGAGACAACGATCAGAGACCCAAACCTCCGGGGTTCCACTGTGGTTCTCCTCATTTGCACTTTCACATTAGACACAACTGAAAGTAGATCCGGTTCTGGTTCTGGTGTGAACGTAGACCCAGTTCTGGTTCTGTTCTGTCCTCAGATTTGGCTCTGCGCTGCTTACTGGAAACATCTAAAGTCAGAGAGGAAACAGAACCAGCTCCAAAACGCCTCAGATCATCAGAACCATCAGAGCCAAGGTCAGGTGAGGATCCAGAGACACCAGAACCTGGTTCTGGTATCGGTCCGGTGCTAGGCCTGGCAGTGGCACTGTGCTGCCACCATCGCTGCGAGTGGCGTCACTATGTGGGTCAGCGGTTCTTCCTGCAGAACGGACTTGGACCTGCGGAGTTTTCTGCCTTCTGTCGGATGTCCAGCTGGGCCACATGTGGACTCAGACCGGCCAATCAGGACTGCCCGTCACAGGATCCGACCAATCAGAGAGCAGAGCTTGAAGGACATGAACCAGCAGACGAGACGGACGCTGTCAGCTGGTAAATATTTGACCTTTGACCCTTGAACGATGATAGTGGAGAGGCTGTCTGTCTGTCTCCAGGTTGTCCTCAACTGCTGTCTGTCTGTCTCCAGGTTGTCCTCAACAGCTGTCTGTCTGTCTCCAGGTTGTCCTCAACCGCTGTCTGTCTGTCT